AGAGAAGACCAGCCCTCTGCCCTTAGGGACACTGCAGCTTTTTGTTTGTTTTTTTTTAAGATTTTTTTATTTATTTGTCAGAGAGAGAGCTTGCAAGCAAGGGGAGTGGCAGGCAGAAGAAGCAAGCTCCCCGCCGAGCAATAAGCCCTATGCAGGACTCGATCCCAGGACCCTGGGATCATGACCTGAGCCAAAGACAGACGCTTAACTGACTGAGCCACCCAGGCGTCCCCTCTTCTCACGTTTTAAGTACAAACTTCACTTTCATGTTGTACAGAAAATCAGGCGTAATAACCAAATCAGGCATAAAGATCTTCTGGCTTCTTACCGTGGCCACAGAGAGATTTATCTTGGGTCCAGCTCCTCTTGCTCTGCCCAGCTCACCATTGCCAGACTTCTGCACCTCTGGCTTCCCGTGGGTTTGGCCAAGAGGGGGCACCTACAGGAGATGAGAGAGTGGGATACAGAGATGGGGCATTTCCTCCCCGCTCCTTCCTATCACTGGTTCTGCCCTCCCATCAGCTCTCCTCCAAAATTCCAGCTAGAATTCCACTGGCTCCAGAGATTCCATTGTCCTCCATCAGTCCCAAAGGTGGGGATGGTAAGAACCCTTGGTGAGAAAGTAAGGCGAAGGGAAGGAATCCCGGTGCTCACCGTTCTTTGGTCTCCGTCAACCCTGTCTCTGGAAGTATCTGTTTACCCAGGTCTCTTCCTTAGAATACCTGTCTCCTACTCAACCCCGATGATCAGCTCCCCAGTTCCTCCCTCTCTCCCCTCCCCGCTCTGGGGTGACAGTTCTGCCCACCCTCCTGGCCCTCCCCCTTCCCTGGGTCTCCGTCTGTCCCATCCTGTTTTCCCCTAAACGCACCCTTCATTCTTCCATCACCCGCTCTACCCTCCGTGCTGTACCTCCAGCCATGGCCTCAGACCCTCCCTTGCATTTCACTCCACCTCCCGGAAAGCATGATTTTTTTTTCATCCATTTTCTCATCTCTTGTGTGGTTGGCACCATCCTGTGACCTACATTCTCCTTGCTAAAGTGTCATGGTTCTCAGTATGCACCTGACTCAAGCTCTCTGAATTAGGTGAGGTTCTGGCCATAAACGTGGATTTGGAGTCAGGCACCTAACCTAACCCTGTGTGGCCCTGGCTCACTTCATAAACCCCTCTGATCCCCAGGTTCTCTCCGTGCAGAATGGGATGTAGGTGCTATCTCACAGGCCACGGGAACTGAAGGGCATGACAGGTGTACACTGCTCAACACGGGATGCTTCAAGTAGTTACAATTGCCACTGGTGCTCATATTAACCATTACTGATCTTCTCTTGAAACCAGGGTGGGTCCCCCCGACCCCCCAATTCATATGTTGAAACCTAGCCCCCAGTGTGATGGTGCTTGCAGGCAGAGCCTTTGGCGGGTGAGTAGGTCAGGAGGGTCCACCCAGAAATGGGATTAGTGCCCTTCTAAAAGGACCTCCGAGAGCCCCCTGGCCCCACATGAGAAGACAGTCCCCTAGGAACCAGGAGTGGACTTTCTCCAGACTCCCAATCTGCTGGAGCCTTGATCTTGGGCTTCCAGGCCCCTGAACTGGGAGGAATAAATGCTGTTGAAGCTGCCTGGTCTATAGCATTGTGTTATAGCAGCTGAGCTAAGACACCGGCGTCCATCCAACCAGGCTTCCACACGTGCCTCCAGCTCCTGGTCATTTTTTCTCAGCTCCCATCCTGGACGCCTGGCATTTCCTTGGGATTCCTCCTCGTCCCTCTTCCTTCCTAAATGTGCATCAGTCACCGAAGAGCTCAGCGCCACTTGCGCGCCAACGGCCTTCAAGGTCCACTCCTCAGCGTTGAGTGGCTCTCCACGGATGTGCCACCACTCCCGCACACCCAGAACCCAGCCCTCACCTTCCTTCCTCCACCTGCGCTCTGCGTCCCAACGGATGAGACTCACTCAGCCTCACCGTCCAGTCAGAAGCATGGCCTTTGTTCTGCATCCCTCTCCCTGGGGGATGCAGAGGACCCTGCCCAGGCTCCTCCACAGCAGTCCTCCTCCCCACCGCAGGGGTGTGGGGGTCTCCATGGCCCCCTCCCTCAGGAGCTCAGCTACAGAGGGGCTTGGTTGGAGGGCCACGGTCTCGGAGCTGCTGAGTGAGGATGAGTGAGGATCCAGGAAACCAGGAGGGAGCTCTGCAGGCCCATCTCTCCCTCTGCCCAATCCTGTGGCCTCCCCTGCTTACCACGGGGCATCTGGCACCCCAAACTCTATCTCAGCTCTGCCTCCACACAAGCCGAACTGCTCACTTGCCCTCATCGACCCTTGACATGTAGATCATTTAACCTTCTCACCGTATCTTGAGCCCACCCCCTCCTTTCCAGCCCACTGCCCTTGCCTTCCTTCAAGACCCCATCATGTTTCCCTTGTACTGTTATCTGCTACCCTCTCAAATCCCCAGAACACCCCATGTTACTGTTCAAGGTGTCCACATAAAATACAAACCTGCCCACACTATGCAGTCTCAAATCCCGCATCGCGAGGGAGACACCCTCCACTTCCAGCTGTCTTAGTGACCTGGCCTCCCAACATTGGGACCATCTACACGGGGCTCTGGAAACACTGCTCCTCACATAACCCCTCTTCCTGAGGTGTCTCTTCGTCTCCATGTAACTGGAAGATCCCAGAAATCCCTCAAAACTCTGCTTCGGAGTCACCCCTGCTGAGGTGACATCCTTAGGCCAAGGTCAGTAGACTCCCCTGTGCAGGGTTTTATATCCCACATATATTTAAATTGTTGCATAGCATACTGGGTTATTGTGATAATGTCAGATTTTCTGCTTCTCGGGGTAGAACGAAACCTTCTCGGGAGCAAAGCCACCGTCCCCAGGGCCCATCTTCAGGCACTCGAGGCAGTAGCCTCTAGAAGCAGGAAAAAGCGAGGAGAGGGGTTCTCCCCTAGAAACCCCAGAAGGAACTGGCTGTCACCCATCCTGGGCTCTATCCCCGGGTGACCCATGCCAGACTTGTGCCTGCAACATTGGCAGATAACCCAGTTGGGTCATTTTAAACCACTAATCTTGGAATTATGACATCAAGAGAAAACCAATCCACTTTGAAGTTCATAGATTTAAAAAGGGGAAACCACAGTATTCTGGAAACCACGATATTCTGGAAAAGCTGCTGTTGATGACCCCAGGCATTCTTGAGTCTGAAGCCTGATTTTATAGTGGTTTCCTTCCTTCGCTTTCCTTCTGTGCTACCAGACTATGAAAATCTCATCGGGCATTGATCTCTACACCATTACAGTCTGAGAGTGCCTAAACTAGGCAAGACCGGCCCTGGGTGAGGGCCCCGGGCATGATCTGGGAGGGAGGGCGTGGGTTTCCTGCTGGGCTTAAGGAGTTCTTTGATTACAGATCTCACATGCAGAACATTTATATTACTGTGATAGTTTAAAATGGCCAATTTCCCTCCCCTCGGCTCATGATAAGAGGAATAAAAAATCTCCTGTTGGCTAAAGGGTTAACTGTGGAGCTTGAATTTTTTTTTTTTTTTCCTCCTTGGAGACTCAACTTGCACGCCTCTTTGATGATCCTTTCACAGAAAGAATCAAGGGCGAGATGCCTAGGGCTTGAATGTGCGTTTGCTGTACATTCATGATAAATGCTGAACCAAATGCCACATTCATGGCTGCTTCTTGCTTGTAAATGAACTGCTGAATGAAAGTTTTGGGGCACAGCTCACCTTCAACAGAGGCCGTCCTGTTCATACTGGGAGCTGACCAAGGGTTTTTGAATTTTCTTGAAAAACTAGTTTTTCTGCTCTCCATGACAGCGGTGCCTTCCTCCTTGCATTTTGTAATCAGGCTGGCTTTTTTTTTTTTTTTTTTTTTCCCACACTGCCGTTGGAATAAAGATCCCGCCTTTGATTGAAATGGAATCTTCCACTATTGAGCAAGCCTTCTTCAATGAGTCATCGGGGCGGCTGCTCATTGGCTGAGGCTGCTGGAGCCAGGGGATTGCCTGGCACTGGCTTGCAGGGCCCGGCTTCATTCACAGAATCGCTGGCTCGCTGTTAGCCCTTCCATTCACACAAACAGCCTCTCATTCACATTTCGCTGTTTTTGTCTGCTTCTAATGAAGAGCGGGGTTGGGGAATGATAGGGCGCTTTTGCTTCAGATTTGGGGGGAGTTCCGCTCACCATCACCATCGTCGATGGGGTGTGCACTTGCTGTTGCTAAGCGAGCAAGGGGAAGGGCGAGAATGAGTGCCTGCGCCCAGGGAGGGCCGCTGTGGCCCTGCGCTCCTGCATCCAGGCGGCCGGCCTCACCTGCCAACCAGGAGCCGCCCTCCGGGCACCTGGTCCATAAAGCTCTGCCAGGCGCCGTGCCCCCTGGGGCACATGCCTAGTCGTGGGAGGGAGAAGGCAGGGTGCTAGGGGTAAATTCATTTGCTTGCACAGAGTTGCCTGGCCATTTGCACAGGGAGGTTTCTCTGTGTCAGGTGGGTTATCTCTATGCACAGCCCACCGTGCCAGGGCTCAGCGGGTTTGAGTCTCTGCCGACCTTCTGGGGGCCGCCAACGCCCGTGCCCCTGGCTGAGAGGAAGGAGGCCTCCGCCCGTCCCCTGCAGCCGAGTCTGACTCCTGAAACAGATCTGCTGTGTAACCAGAGCAGGGGCATGTTTTTCCTCCTTAATGCAGGGTTGAAAAGCAGCAACAGAAGGGACACTGAAATGTATTTGTGACGTTTGGTAGGCATTTTTCCAGACCTTGAGCACATTCAGTTGGGATAAAGCTTCAAGCCCAGCCCCCTTTTTGGAATGGATTTCTGGAGCCGGCTGCCATTCCTCAGAGAAGTCCTCTTCTTTTTTGGAAGTAGGTTTTCAACCTAACCCCGACTGAGGAAGGCTGTTGTCCTTAGCAGGGAACACATCCTCACTGGCTCTGTGCAGATCTTTCTTTCTTTCTTCTTCTTCTTCTCTTTATTTATTTATTTTTTTGGAGGAACTGCATTGCCACAAAGACACTTGTCATGGCTGCTCTTTTGCCTTGAAAAAAAAACATAGAAAAACCCAGGAAATTGGTATTTTATGTTCACCTGGGAGTAAATATTCTTTTCTTTTTTCCTGTTTTTGGCTGTTTACCAATTTCTGTTGCTTTCCAAATCAGAATTCATGAGGATCTGCTGAAGATCTTATTCTTAAAAAGCCTCCGTCACATTTTAACGCATGGCTATGAGACACTTAGGGGCTCCCACGGAGGGCTGAGCGGGGGGACAGGAAGCCCTAGCACAGAAGAAGGGGTTTCAGAAAGTTCATCTGACCGTCCGAAGGGACTGGACTGACCTCTGGCACAGATGCTGAGTCGGGGGGATGGGGAGGCGAGCAACCAAAGGTCGGAAGGAAATCTCTGGGAAGGTAGAAAAAGGCAGTTGGAGGATTGATTGGCTCTAGTGAGCTGTCAGTGGGTGTATGTATTTTTTTTCTTTTTTCTTTCTTTCTTTTTCTTTCTTTCTTTCGTGTGTGTGCGTGTGTGTGTGTGTGTGTGCGCGCGTGTGTGCGCTACAGGAAGTGATTTGCAGTGCTCCCCGGGCCTTTGTTGAGAAGGGTCTCCTCTGGAGTGAGTCACGCTCTCGCTGTGCGCAGCCGGAGTCGCGGACGCTCCCCTTCGGAAGCGATGCCTGGAGCGGCGCGAGCGTGCAGCCCTCCGCAGCCGAGCGCGGGGCCGGGGCTG